CCATGGACAGGACCGCGGTGGCGAAGATGGGGGCCGTGGCGAGCGCCAGTGTGTGCGCGCTGGTGGGCGGCGTGGTGCTCGCCCAGTACATCTTCACCATGAAGAAGAAGACGGGCAGGAAGACCAAGATCATCGAGATGGTACGTGGTGGTGGTGGCGGTGGTAGCGCGGGCTGAGCAAAGCAGCCCCCGCGGGCTAAACGCGGGTGTGCGAGGCCCCGCGTTGACAGGAGGAAGCTCTGCCTTGTGCACCTTGCTATAAAAGGAAGGTTGAGTGAGCCCTGTGTCTGCCACTCTGGTTAAACGTGTTGTTCAGAGGATGGTTTCAGTGCCTCCTGCTGAGGCTAAAAGGTCCTCGCTGTTGTCTTGCACGCTGAAACTCCGAATTTGAGTTTGGGGTTCGGACACCACTGTGCTAAGGAACTGAACCGAAATCAGCAATCAGGTCACTTCATGACAGCCAATGAATATTCTGTAATATCCCCTTCAAATCTTTATGCAAAGCTCTTTTCCCCCCATTTTTTTTGTCAAAATGTACATTTTTACTAAGAATTGCTACAGTTGTGTATACAAAGAGGGAAATGCCTATTGACTTGCCCATGCAATTCAACAATTGCCAGTGGAAGTTACACAGAGTAGTTTATGATAACGTGGAGTCAGAGAACACTTCCCCTGTGTGCTTTTATAAGAGTCATCCTACTTCCTACTGCAGAAGGGGTGTTTCAGCCCTACTGCCAGTCACCGGTCCCTTCATTCAGGAATTTGGGATTAATGTTCTTTTTATTGTCTCCTCTTATTGGCAACAGTTTGGGCAAACACAGAATCTTTGGATTGCCACTTCAGAGAGGTTATAGATGTTTTTGTAAAAATGCCTATGAACTATGTAGTAGTATTTTATAAAACTCATTTGAAAATCTACAGCAGTGTAATACTGGTTAACTAGAAATTATGCCTTTATGACTAATGCTTATAGTACATCTTACTTGAGAGAGTTATAAAAGCTTAACCATACAAACGCTCATAGTCAGCTATAATCATCTCACCAACTTGTACTCTCAGTAACCCAATAAAGCTGTAATTCAGAAAATGCCTAATAAGTGCTGAGAATATATCTGTAGTTAATTTCCTTCAATGATTTTTAAGTCATATCTTGCCTAGAGAAACTTAGCTTCAACATTTTGTTGTTGTTGTGGAGGTTTTGCTTTTAGTTGGAAAAAGAATTTTGTCATGTCAATGATAAATTAACCTTTTAAGCATGTTCAGGTAGTATGTTCAGAATTACTTTCTCTGATACAGATCTATAAACCTAGACAGATATTTCTGAAAATTCTACTTTTAGGATCAAAGCTTTTCTCAACTTTTCCAAGGGAAAAACAAAGCTTGTTCAAACCCTGTTAACTTGCTTATATTTAAATATTTTATCAAATACAACACATGAATACTGTTTGAAACAGTAATTCTCTGAGAGGGCAATGGATTGATTAGAGTTGGCAGCTTTGTCAGCTCACAAACTTCAGTTCTTTTTTCTTTTTTTTTTTTTCTTTTCTCCTAAGGCAGTATTTTCAGTGAACCTATGTAGTCAGGCCATGAAATTTCTTTTACTTCTGAAATGGAATAGTTATGTAAACTTCATACCTAGGATTTGAAAACGTTTTTAAAGTGTTTGTTTTAGCCAAACATGCCATATTCTGTGGAGCTTCCTCAAACAGTTTTTTCTACCAAAGCAGATTTGTTTCAACATTTGTCATTTACACTACGCAGCGTATCCATTTTAATTTATGAGGAGGGAGCGCTTGCAGGAAGGTGCTGTTCTCCAATCTCTAATTTGGCTTTAAATTAATATAAAGTGGGAAAGCAAACTATACTACTTTGTTGAAATCTACTTTTTCCCATAAACAAACTGCTATGCCAGCCTGGTCTTCTACATTAGAAAATCTACTTTAAGATTTTTGGATTATTTATTCTAAGACCAGAAAAAAAAATCTCAGTGATTACAAAAATAGGGGGGTAAGCATGTTTTAATGTTGAATGATGAAATCAACAAATACATAAATATATCTGTCTTATTTCAGCAGGTGAGTATTTTTAATGACTATTTAGCCTTAAATTATTTAGATAATTTAAGGTTTATAGAGATCATGAAATTACTGCATCTCGTTTTAAAGGAAAGGTTTATATTTGGAATCAGATTAAGGAATTAATGTATTTGTTAACCACTTACAGTTTGCAAATACTGATTTTGCCTTATCACCTTGCACAGCCAAATTACTGTTTCTGTGCAGTTGTAAGAATATTCCTATGGTCAGGTGGACATAATAGTTATGAGTGAGGTTGTTAACTTTGATTTAAAGGGGAGGTTAATTAGGCTTGTCAAGTAACTTAATAGTTAAGTTTTGATAGCTACTGTAAAGAGATTAAAAGGTACAGTATTAGAATAGCACTCAACTTCTTGGATTTTCCAGGCCCCAGACAGTCTTGCAGTGACGCTGTGGATCCCTACGAGCAATGCAGGTGACTGGCCATAGACAGAGACATTTCTTGGCTGGCACTGGAAACCCTTAGAAAGTCTGCAGAGATGGCGTGGCTGCAGAGAAAAGAGGAAAACGTTGCGTTGGCCTTATGAAAACGCTCATCTTTAAGTAATAGCCCATGCTGACTAAAACGTGGGGCAACAGAAAAAGGTTTCATGTCAGATATCAACAACAGAAAATGAAAACTCATGTTGTTAAATGTTTCTGATAATTTTTCTTGTAAATATGTTGAGGAGAGGTGGAAATGCATAAGGTTTGTTCACATCAGCGCGGCAAAGCCATCCTGTCCCGCGCGGGATAGGGATCTCCAGAGCCGGCTGCTGTAGGCGGCCGCTCCACGGCATGCTCCGTTCGCGCTGCTCGCGTGGGAATGTTTACACCCGTTGCTATAGCGACGGTGACGTCACGGGGCACGGGTCACTGAGGACCCCCTAGTGGAAAGGCCTGAAGGAGCGCGCGGAACGTGGCGCATGCGCAGCGCTCCCGGGGGCTCCCAAGGGCTCGGGCATGAAGGATTCCCAGGTAAATGCGGATTCTTCGAAAGGCCAGAAAGTGGAGGCAGTAGAAGCGGGAGAGGGAAGAGCATGGACTATGGACTCGCTTTAAATATCGCTGCAGGACGTGGTCACTTTCTGGATATTGCATTGATAATATTTAAAACATTGTGACCTTGGAAGCCAGCCACTAACGTAGTCCACGTGGGAGTAGTACTGTTCCAAAGGTGCCTTGGTATGAATCAAAGAACTGCAGCTGAACAGCCCATACATAACTGAGAGCCGTTATGTTATTAGGGACTAGACTATCTGAATAATTTTTAGAAGACTGTTAAGCTTTTAAGAGCCTATTAGAATTGATATAACTACAGGAGATTTCATATAGCTCTTTCTATAAAATGTGGTTTTGTTCAAACTGTACTTCTCAATAGGAAAAAAAAAAACACTTTGACAGAGTGACAAGCATTATAAGTACAAGCTCGTGTTGCCTGTAGGCCTTTCTGTGCAGTTAATTGTGATATATGGCAATCTAGAACATGGCCTGTAAAATAAACTTGCACAGAGTCATGATAAATAATTTAAATGTATTTCATATTGATTTTAGTTAGATATTACTTTTGTTTTTTTCCTTAATTCAGGTTTTAATTCAGTCGTAAATCTTAAAAAAAAAAAACAGCTCTCAAGATCTGAATTGCACTCTTCTAAAATCAGTTAAGAATCAAAAAAGTAATCTATTATGCAGACTTTACTCACAGTAGTATTTAACCTAATTTAGCTGATCCTCCAGTTTAACCATCTGTTTCAGAAGTTGGTTTTAATTATCAGAAATT